CCCCAAAACCCCAAAACCCCAAAACCCCTTTTTGGTACAGACTGATGGAAATACTTATATTACCTTTGCCAAGGATGCAATAGTATTTCTTTGGTAATTTTTCTTTGGACTATTGGATCTGTATCTTACGAGGTCCTTAAGCATTGTGAATCTTTCTCCTCCCTTGTCATTATAAGGAGAGGTTTTAAGACATCTTTTCATGAATAGATCATATTTCACTTGATTGCTCTTTTCAAAGACTCTTCTCATAAAATCATGGAACCATTCTTTACTATGCTCTTTATAGCAATGAATATCACCAGCAGAGTAGTCAATTTCTGGGTAAAGCACTTTCAAATATTCCTCTTCAGTAACCTTGTCTAATGCATGGCTTCTTTTTGGGTTTGCAGATCTAACTCTTGTTCTTCTAACCTTTGGTGGTACATACTGTTGATTTTTGAATAAAGCTGTTGCAATTTGCTCATATCTAGGGTTAACAGGAATAACCTGCTGGACCTTATGAGTTTGCTTAACCTCTATTTCCTCATCAGATTCATAAACTGGTAGTGGTGCAGGCTTTCTCCTCACTGTCCTCTTCTTTTTCTTTGCTAAAAATATTTCATCAAGATTCTTACGCTTTTTAGTTGCTCTAATCTTTTTAGGAGGTTCAGCGTCAATTCTATCAGGTTTCGGTAGATCATAAGACTGCGGCATCATCCTCTGGTGCTTATTAGAATTCTCTATATCCTCTTGGATCTTCTCCTTCATCATTTGCTCAGTTTTTCTTCTTCTCTCCTCTAGTTCTCTCTCCCTTTGCTCTCTTTCTAATCGGTCTTGTCTTCTTTGTTCTTGATATTCTCTTTCTCTTTGTTCTCTTTCTCTATCTCTCTTTTCTAATTCTCTTCTGTTGAATTCATCTCTTTCTCTTTGTTCAGCTTCACTCAAGGCTCTTTGTTGTTCTTCCCAGGAGAGTTTTTCTTCAGCTTCAAGACGCCTTTTGGCTTCTCTTTCAGCGTCCTCTTCAGCCCATTTTCTTTTCTGTTCTTCCTCTCTTCTTTTGGCTTCTTCTTCTGCAGCTCTTCTTCTGGCTTCTTCTAGTTCTCTGGTGTCTGGTTTAGCAGTTGGGGCTGCACTTCTGGATGGATAATACATTTGGGAGTTCTTTGTCGGGGAGTACCTGTTAGGAGAGATCTCTACACTGTCAGGCATTCCGTCCTTTTCTGGGAAGCCTTTACGATGACCATAGTTAAATGAGGTGCGCTGGTATAAGTCCTCAGCATGCATTGGTCTGTAATAGAAATCATCAACTGATCTCCCTAGCCCTCTTGTATCCCTATATAGAGGGTCGAAGGCTGATCTGTAGTTAAGTAAATGACTACCAGGCTCTATATGCCTAACTGGAGATCTACTACAAGAATAATTTCCTCCAGGACAGCTTGCTGGAATCCTAGTATGAGATGAATAAATATGAGCATCTAAAGGGCGAACTATATTTTATTTTTGCATAAAATTACCTTGACCTAATTCTCCTTCGTAACGTCTATGTTTATCATAAAGTGAGTAGTGGGATCCTCTGATATACTCAGTATCAGCAGCGGTGACAGCATCTCGAAGATAATCATACCTTGCCTGAGGAGATAAATCATAGTATCTTCCTGGTGTTTTATGTATTTCTGTAACATAAGTCCTATAGCCAGGTCTGGAGTAATAATGAACATCCTCTTCTTCATAATATCTGCCATTTCTGAAGTCTCTTAGTGGACTACCTTCTTCTTGATCCTTAGATCTTTTGTGGTCCTTTGATTTCTTGTCTGATTTATATTTTTGGCCGCTTCGATTAGCCATACTAAATTTTATTTATTTTTATTTTGCGACTTAACGTATGTATTTCAAGTCCCTCTTCTTTTATTGGGGTTTTGGGGTTTTGGGGTTTTGGGGTTTTGGGGTTTTGGGG